ATAAGTGGACCTGTGTAGTTCAAACCTTTGTTGTCCAAGGGTCAACTGTATATGTTTTTTTCACATAAGTAGATATATATATATATATATGTATATATACATACATACATATTTATTAATTTATATATGTTCTCCTACCTGTTTTCCCTTAATGAGAATGTTGATTCCCAACATCGTCAATTTATTTGTCCATTTCCTTAGTCCTACAATAAATAACCATTTTGAAATTGCTACCCTGATACCACTACCATCAACAAACTTACCAAGAAACAGTAAAGATTTCTTTGCAGTTCTTTTTGTCTTCTGACCATATTCCACAAAAGACATATAAAGTGTTCAAAAGTTGCTAGGATTAGGGTGCCTGGGTGGCTTAGTGGGTTAAAGCCTCTGCCTTCAGCTTGGGTCATGACCCCAGGGTCCTGGGATCGAGCCCTGAATCCGGGCTCTCTGCTCAGCAGGGAGCCTGCTGCCCCTTTCTCTCTCTGCCTGCCTCCCTGCCTACTTGTGATCTCTCTGTCAAATAAATAAATAAAATCTTTAAAAAAAAGTCACTAGGATTAAATTTTTTCCTCTCTCTGTAGTTATGTTATCAATATGATATATAGTGAGTTTCATTTCCTTTATTATTATTTTTTTTAATTTTAGAGGGTTTGGTTTTTTTTTAGGATTTTATTTATTTATTTGTCAGAGAGAGAGACAGGAAGAGCACAAGCAGGGGGAGCGGTAGGCAGAGGGATAAGCAGGCTCCCTGCTCAGGGAGCCCAATTGCAGGACTCCATCCCGGGGCCTTGGGATCATGACCTGAGCCAAAGGCAGACACTTAACAAACTGAGCCACCCTGGTGTCCCTGAGTTTTTTGTTTTCTATATCACTTTATCTTTTGAATATGTAAAACATAATGTGGTTTAAAGTCAAACTGTATAATAAGGAGATGTCCCATCCCCTTCACTCTTCCTTCCACTCATCCCTGCAGGCAAACAATTTCATTAGTTACTGACTTGCCTTCCTATGTTTCTTTTTGC